GCATTTTATGGATGATCCATAATGTTTCTCGCTTTCCAGATCAGAGGCTTTTGTAACATATTACCAAGTAATTGACCAATTTATCTGTATCATATAAAACAATATTAGGACATTAAATGTTTTTATCTCCATACTCTTAATGATTTGATACGTGTCTGTAGAGATATTAAAAAAATACCGGTATCCAACATCCCACTATTAACTTGAATAGTAATTAATGATTTTAAAGAAAAATCCGGTACCTTCTTTTCATTTGTTTCAGGTCTAGGCGCCTTGAGCCAACGTGCGCACGGCCATCTATCATCTTCACACTCGTATCCGCACGAGACCAACGCCACAGCATCAGCCTGTGCGGCGGCAGTCGTGGCTGCGGCCGCCCTCCATGGAGACCGACGCGATGGACTTCCGTTCCTCTCACGTCTTGACTACGAAACTCTGGAACCCAGGTCAGGTCAAGCCGCCGCTTCTGGTGGGCAGCTGCAGTTGAATTCGGTAGGCAGCATTATTTGTAAATACTTGCAATAACCTCACGTATTTAGGACGATAGTTGCCTACCAAGCCATCAAGCCTGCCTGGGATTAAAAATCATTTGGTAAGCTATACGATTAAAGGTTCGGAAAAAATTAATTTCTCCTATTTCCGATATTTGCATGTAAAAGATATTTTGAAATGCAGGAAAATGGTTTTCTACCCATACACTCGACAAAAGCATACACGTTAGCTGTATCCTTCATTGTCCAGATATGTGTTTGCATCACTTGCACACCAAAAGTATCGTTATCGAACTACATAGATCTTATTTTACTTAATCTTTAAGGGTATTTTAGAAATAGATCTAACATAAACAAGGATAGTATGGTGATGGCTAAATTTATGGCCATTTTAACACTAAACTATGCTAATTGTGATGTTGTCCTTCTTTTTCGTCTACTTGTCATTTCAGCCGGTATAGTTGTCATGTTTCAACATTGCATTGATTATTGAAGCATGTCCATTCGGAAAGATTTCACGTGCATATTTGATCAGGAGTCAAGATAATTGCTTCTTTTCGAGTTATAAAAAAGATAGAAGCCCCAGAATTTGTCTTGATTTAGATGGGCTCGCAGTCGAACTATTGTGCTCTATCCTCATTTTACATATTTCCTGATCAGCGAGGGGTGGTTAATGGTGAATTACGCAGCTAGTCAGTGTGCCGTGAAGCTTCGAGACGATTTGATGCATTCGAATGAAGCCCATGGAATCGGTTTATCTTTGGGTTTTATATAGCCTTGTCTATTTTCGATGTGCGTCGGACAGAATAAGATACAATTGACACAGATTGAGATAAATTTGCAATTTAGGCTAATTTCAGAGAAAAAAATTGTTGAAATTCGGCAAAAAACTGATAAAAAACCGAGCTGGTATGGCTGAAGCCTCAAATAACAGAGAAATGTTAAAAGTCGCTAAGAGCTAAGTTTGCTTGGTATTTTAACAAGTTCGAGGTGGAAAGGCCGGTTTTCATAGGGCCCTTCCCAATGTTGATTTGAAGACCATTTGGATTTCGTTTAGAAATGAGCAATAAAAACCTTTCCCAATCGGCTTTTGATCGGCTGGGCACTTGTTTCAACATATTATTCTCAGAGACCTCCGCAGTCCTCGGAGCATTGCTTTTTCTGGGCACATCTTCTTATATTAACTTCAAATGTCATCAGATTTCACGATTTATTGCTACTGTGAGGTTTTGTTCGGAATATTTTCTCACTTTGGAGGTGTTCTTCTCAAGCCATATGGAATGTGTGAACAATTTAGGCAACAAAGAAGGATGGTTTCCCCATAACTACGGTGATTTTAACGATGGGCTGCAAAATAATTGCAGGAAAACCAAATATAATATTTAAGTTTCATTTAAGCAAATGAATTAATGCATTAATTGTATATTTTCAAACTAACGAAGACTAATGCTAGCATCTTCGCCTATTCTATATGTATAGTGAGTAAAAATATGGAAGTAAATACATAGTCAGGTTCACTTTTTTATTGCTTTTGGCTTCCTTCAAAATGTGAGTGCCAAGTAATCTAGGGTCGACCTCTTTGAAAACCGAAGATTGTTCTTAAGATGTTGATATTACGTTAACCCATCTTCTGGACTCGAAAATACCTCTCGGCAGACGGTATTCTGAACCCCGTAACTCCGTGTTGAACTTACATCTATAAAGTGGCAAATATCGCCACACTAAAAGCACATGTCCGAACAAATCATTCTATTCTACGCAGCTGGGGAGAGACAGCAACTTATCCTGGACTAGTATTATCGTTTAAGTGAGTTTTTTTCGATACTATCGGTGTGTAATAGTCGCGTAGGCGATGCATATCTGAGTAGTAGATAGTTTCCACTTGTCATTCTATGGAAAACCTTTCGGTTTTATGTTAGTGTTCAAATTATATGTAAATATTGTCACACTTATATGGAATGTAGTGAGAGAGGTTTGGAGAAAATATGCCAAAATGAACTCAAACAAGGTTGGTTAAATTCACCAAGAACCCCAGTACGAATCATTTCGTTCAGTTCATTCATCAAGCGCCTATTAAAACTGGCCATCCAGCTTTGATTCTTTGTTTATTCCAAAGATTGATGACGCCTGGGCTGAGAAAACTTTCATTTTTCATAGAAAAGTAGCACCTTTTGAAAATAGAATCATTCGAAGCCCTCATTTATGTCAACTTAGAGGTAGAGTTGAATAAGCTCAAATAACTATTGCGTGCGCGTTATATTAGCAAACTCTTGGCCAGTGCCGAAATGCAATTGGTCCTAAGCCTAAATTTACGATTTATTGAATCAAAATTTCCAAGTATTTCTATCTTTTCTGAATGTATTATAATGAATATTAATGCATTCAACACGCGTTTTCCATTATGGAAAGCTCTGCTTATTTGTCTACGCTTTTTTTAATGTAGATCTGTAATGCCTATTTGCTAGTTGGACTGCTGGAGCACTAACTAAACTCCAAGCTTACGGATATATTTACTTTTTTCTGGGGCCCCTTCTTGCACCCATACATGTTACTTGGAGTAACACTTAATTTAGGCATCTAGCAAAACATATCAGATCAGGATTACCTTACAAAATGCTCAGAGTTTTAGAACCGACAACTTCTGCAAAAGTGTACTTTACAATTTTTATTAAGAGCATAAAGTTAAACGCCATAGCTTTCTTTTTTAATGCCTTGGGAGTGGAGGTTATGATAGAGCTTGTAGGCCAAGTGGAACTTTGGGACCTGGCTTCTGTTGACTTTAAATTATACTTTAGGCCGCATGGCAAGGCTTAGTGGATACAGTGTTTAGCTTCAGAAAGAAGTGCATTATTATGTAGTCCTATTGCAAAAGTGTTCGTGTCTAGAGAAATGTTGAGCGAATGTGGCCATGACGACCAAGGAAGTTTGCGGTGTAGATACGCAACGCGAATAGACTCCGTTGATTTGACGTCGATCAAGGCAAAGTTCTTTTTGCTGAGACTCGTTGGCAGCAAACTCGTTGGGCGAGCGCGCTTTTTCTCTCATTGTATGGTTTAACCGAGGTTGCCATGATGCCGAAGAGCTGTAGTGTACGCGAAAGTGGCACAAAAAGAAGCGGTGTGCCGTCCCGAGGAAGAGCCCTGGTATTCTGAGTCGGCAAAAAAGTAGTAAATTGTAGAT